ACAACGGTAAGATTTACCCATTGGAATGTTAACCATGGTCTCGGTAAAATGAAGGTGCGATTTAAGGGTCTAAACAATATTTCTCCATTTATTAATTTAGAAAGGAAATCTTTTTCTAATTCCAATTAAATGCTACAAATGAATATTTTATAGTCATTTTTATAATTTCAATTTCAAGTAGAAAGAATGCAGATATAATTACATGGGTTAACTGCCTACTTTGCCAACAGTATTTTCTTAAAGGATGCTAAATAAATAATTAACATTTTTAAATATATTTTATTACATTATTGTAACAAAAACAGAAAGGTCCACTGATTAATCTCAGGTAAGATAGTATATTCAGTATCGAAATGGTGTGCATTTCATACTTCAATATCGAAATGGTGTGCATTTCGATACTTCAAGTATGTATAATTATACTATCTTATTGTAACTTGTTTCTATTCTGTGATGGGACAACGAACTCTTCTTGAGTCATCAGAGTAAATATTTCATACTCTTTCCCTGACCTAATTTTCAGAACATAAAAATAACAACCTTTCAATATCATTATCAACCTTCTCTTTCAATTGACTTACCAAGGTTCATTTACTTATTAGGTGACCTGTGTTTCTTCCTTTTTCAACTTACTATACAATATATTTTTTTCTACAAAAAAGAAAAAAAATTGGAACACTATTTATCAATAAAAAATAACAGGGTAAAATATTTCATATGTTTCGAAATTGTTCAAATTCTCTCCATGAAGCTCCATCAACACTATCAAATTTTATTTGACAAATCCATGTGATGTGCCCATATACGGGAATGATGATGTCATATTACATCCCAATATGGGCGTATACATGTATTTGTCACATAAAACTTAATAGTGTGAACTGAGTTTAAGTCTAATAATGAAATTTGTTTATATAAAACAATGTTCTATTCTATAATTCGTGAATGTACTTGAATATTAAATGAAATCTAAAATAAATATTTAATTTATTTTTATCTTATTAATCATACAGTACTTGAAACAGCCCTACTGTATTTGGATTGTTTTGTTATAAGGTAATAAGTGGGCCTATAAATTTGGAGTGGGTTTTATTGTGTCTACTGCCCCTGACTGGACAATATCATCTTACTTGTAAATTGTGAGGTAAATCCAGTTTGAGAGTTAAAAGATTTGGAATTATGGGGGTACCATTACATCATAAGCAAAAGACAGAAATTAACAGTCTCCCATAACCCACATTGTGGAAAGTACCTCAAAAAAAAAACTATGTCAGGAGGTGATACTTGTTGTATTACTCATATTATCACCATAACTAAATTTACTTAAGATGCCCTTGACACTTGTCATTGTTCTTTATCAATAACAGTACCTTTGCTTATGTGGTTGAATAAACATAGCAATAAGTCATGTATTATGCTTCAAGCCAGTAGAGCTTTAGTCTGTATAAAGTTCAAGTGTTTTATCAATGGCCATTGTGAACTGTGTACCCTTGAGCAGAGTCAGTTGTTTTGGTATTTTGGGGAACAAATGAAACTGGTTAACTGTAATGGATAACAAATTGGCTAACACAATAATACATAAGCTACACTGTTAAGAAGAAGTGGAAACTTTATGGTCATGTCATACAATGATATTATTTTGGCTTTAGTTCAACTATTAAAGAGTCTATAAATTTTATGATCACTAAGTATGTACTGTCTTCCCCTGAAAGCCTTACCAAAAACCACAAAAGGTAACCAAAGGCCACAAAGCACTGAAGGTCTAGGCACAGCAAGGCATTGAATGTAAAAACAGCAAGTGTACTGTACAATATTATATTGCTAATCAGACAAAAAAACTACTGAGATAATAGCCACACTTTGTTTGTTTTGAACAATTCTTGACCAAATATTTTCTTAAAACTTACAATAGGTCTTCCTTTCTATGTTAATTATGTACTGTACACCAGGTGGGCAAAGTGTGATGTACAGGCCACATGCAGCCAACTCAACAGCAATTTTGTTGCAATGAAACAATTGACACAAAATACATTATTACTGTAAAAATAAGATAATACATAATAAAAAAATATAAACTCATGATAATATATTAACCTTAGTTACACAAACAAGACAAAAATGAGAATGATAGAAATGATGTTCACAATTTTTATCTTTTGAACGTTTCCTTAAATTACTAGTACATTGACAGACTTACTATGTAATTTCAAAACAAAATTTAATGACAGAAAGGATCACCGTTTCAGGTCCATCATGGAACCATTTTCAAGATCAAATGATTTTAAAACAGAAAATACCAATGAGGTGACAAGAAGTAATTATTTCATTTCATTTATTTGTCTCAAACTATTAAAATGTACATAAACAGAAATGGCAAAGAACAATCACAAAAGTACAAAAACAAGAGACAGACACTCCAAAAGTAAAATCAATCACTGTCGAGTGGAGGCCCTTCACGAGAAAAACACAAATACTTAAAATATAAAATTCTTCAAAAAGATAAAAAATCGGGGAAAAAATATTGAAATATAGAAAAAAAGTGTAAAAATCAATAAATGAGCAAATTTAAATTAAAAGGTATTTTAACATTAACATGTCAATAGGGGCCCACTGTGTAGAGGGCTTAAATAAATAAACAGTTTGGCTTTGACTGAATCAGTTTGTTTGTTAAATGTTGGTTTCAGTTCTTTAATCCAAAGCATTTCTTTAATTAGGCAATCAATTTGGATAGCAATTAGATCTTGAAATAATTAATGGTTTCAGTAGCATTAATGATGTTTTACATGTTGTCCTATGTTACCTTTATTGTGCTCATCAATACGTTGATAAAGGTGTCGACAAGTATAGCCGACATAGTTGAATCACACAAACCACTTTGAAATATGTATACATTGTTCATTAACAGGTTTTCTTTCTTTCAATTTTAGGATTTTGCATATCTTCCTGTTAGTAGTAAATACTGGCATAATTTCTTTATTATTTATCTTAGGGTTACTTTAAGCTGTTTAAGTTGTTTAGATCCAGTGTTAGAACAAGTTTGATCATTAAATGGCACAACAATTTTGATAGGTTGTAACCACATGTTCATTATTTTATCAATGCATATTGCATTAATCAATTAGTAAGGCAAAAGGTGGCAGCAGAGCAGTTAATAACCATACACAGGAAGAATGCTAATACTGTAATATGTATACTGTATTATGTATCTAGAATAATTTATACAAACCTGTATATACCTGAATGTAAACTCACAATTGTTCCAGTAGTTCTAGTAATACAGACATGAATAGTTTAAAACATTAAATAATGTACTGTATGTTTAAAATGATAGTCGGTAATGTAAAGTTTATGATGCATGCTCAAGATGTGCTGGAATTCTGTTAACATGCATCATTATTTTCCCATGAAAAAAGTTTTTGGACTATAGGGGGCAGCATTCATAATTTCATTTAGCATCAGAACATACAAGTTAATTTCATGTACATTGTTTGCCTGTTTTACTTTGGATAAATGATCAAATGATCATAAAAATGAATCAAATGATTATGCAAATGAATCAAGTGATTATGCAAATGATAAAATGATTATGTAAATTAATCCAAGGCAATTAAACAGAAGGACGCACATCTCGGGACATCAAAGGTTATAACTCTGGCATCGACACATTCTAAGGCGCATGTGCGTCCCTACACGCTGAACGTCACAAAAGCCATAGCAACCAGACCATAAACCGTTAGCGTTTGTGACGATTTACCCACGCACGTGTTAGTTGCCATGATAATTGTGCGTCGTGCGGTGATTACAAAGGACTAATGATATTTTGCACTAACATTAGACTGAAATTATATTCTCCATTTCAACATTAATTTTACCAAAATTGTGGTGAATTGTCGTTCATGAGACTCACTTCCCAGAAAAAATTAATAAATGTTCTGTATATACTCAAATGTTCGTTTTCGGCACCTTATGCCAACATTGTCAAAATGACAGTGTAATGTTACATAAGAACATGAAATTTTATAAAATTCCTAAATTTTGAATTGCTATAACTTTTCATTTTCTTGGTCAATTTTCACAAATCAAA